GTGCTGACTCCCGCTTAGAAAAGTACAAATGGGAGGGTGACTCAATTTTTATGCATGGAAGGAAGTTGATTTCTATGCTGCATATTCTCTTTGCCAAATATCCATTTTTTCCTTTCTTTCACAGTTTTTATACTGAAGCTAAAAGCAGGCATCTATTTTGGGATAACCAGTTTCATCCTGAGTGTGAAGTTTGAGCTTTCACGCTGAAACAGAATTGTCACAAAATGAAGCAATCTCTCTACTCCCAAGCAAACAAACAGAGGAGTGCAGCCTTAATTTGACATTTAAATTAATTTGGAAAAGGCCATTTTCACTCCACAAACATGATGACAAAAGCAGCTTTGAGGTCCTAACACTATTTATGTGGATGTTAACATGGAAAAGAATGTGAACGAGAGCATACTGAAATGTCCTCTCTGCTCTGCTCCTGTATTTTATAACGGCAGGGGTTAGACAAATAGAGAGAGCTTGCTGTCAAAAAGTTTTCTATAATGATGATGGATCTCTGTCTTATAATTCCCATGTTTCTTTGGTTTCAGGGGCAGAAAACTATCCTCCTCTCCCCACCAATAGCCAGAAAACAGAATCAAATGCCAGACAAAAAGATCATTCTCTTATCTGAATCTTTTGTCATTACACGCACAATAAGAGAATGACATTCTCATCCATCAAAGAATGACATGGATAAATGAACAAAAATGGAGCCATCTGTTTGCATTACAAGAGTTCCATCCTGATCCTCTAACTATACATACTGGAAATCACCAAAAGTTACTTCCACTGATGCAGCTACCACAGCATTCACTGTGGGGCATGCCCATTTTGTTACAGTGCCTGATTGTTTCAGTCCCGCTATAATCAGATACTATATCAAATGAGTCTGCCTCCAAGGACAGATATGACTGTTTGTTAGTTCAAAATGTTGTGACTTTGGCAGATAGGTCTTGAAGCAGACTACAGAGCCCTCAGGAGTGAGGATCTGTGCAGTCACTAGAGGCTTGGTCTGTCCTTCAAGGCAGCATGAAGGTCAAGGTCAAACTGGCTTTAGCTGAGTCTAGGTACACAGGGCTAGCAGAAGCACCCCCACCATGTGAACTAGTTGAACCAGGAAACCTGGTTTAGCCCAGGGATTAAATACCCTAGAGAGCCAGAGGCTTTCCCTGTTCCTGCGCTTCATCCAGCTGATACTACAGAGAGCACTATATGTGTTCAGACAGTGATTAGGATTAGTTAGTTGGAACTGAAGTCTGGCCCTCCAAAGTAACTGGTTGGCCACTGTGTGAGAGATGGGATGTTGGACTAGATGGATCATCACTGGACTGAACCAGCAGGGATCTTTTTATGTTTTTATGAAAGCAAGCTGCTGGCCAGGTGCTTTGTTGACACTGAGCTGTATCCAAAACAGGCCTGTCATATCCACCACTCCTGCTGGCTATGGGGGGTGGGGAGAGAACCTGGAAAACTGGTGGTCCAGGATCTGGCCCTACAAGGCAGGGGAGCTAGCTTTCCCAGGGTCTGGCATATTGGCAGCATTATCTGAGATGGAGCTTTCAGGGACAGGTCCATCAACTGAGGCCTCAGATTTGGGAGCTCTAGGTCTGAAGGGTGTCCAGTGGATTCAGGTGACCTCTAAGCCTCCTCATGCTGGTCATGATCAGGTGAGGAGTTGGTCCTAGGTCCGGGTCTGGCCACAAAGAGGTCCTGAAAAAATGCCGTAAGACGCTACACAAAGAGTTTTATTTGCACCCCATCTTTCTCCCCAACAGGGGCCCAATGCTTCTTCCCTCATTCTTCTCTTCTCCACTTTATTCTCACAACAAACCTATGAGGTAGGCCAGACTGAGAGTATGTTACTGGCCAAGGGTCTCCCAGAACTTAGTCTAAAGGTCTAACAATTGAATCATATTGACTCTCATGTCATCCAAGCCCACCTCCATCCCCATATTTGCTATATTCTTCCACTCCACACATTTACCAGCTGAATAATGTCCAGTTTTCTGTTTTTCTAGGGGAACATTTCATTACATGGAGAAAAGTGGTGTTTCACTTTTTTCTGAAGTGGTATACTCCAGGATCAATTTTCCTACATGACTAAGATTGTATCTTGATTCTAGGTTTAAGGATGATTGAGTTTGCAATTGTTGGACTAATTTATTCTGTTTCATCTATGGAGGAAAAATGCTATTCATGGTCCCTGAAGTCTGTTTGAGGGAAAACTCCATTTCCACACACTCCAAAGACATTATTTACTGTCAGATTTTTACTTCAGATCTTTGCTGCTCCTGTTGGTGCTAAAAATCACCTGTTTCCCCACTGTTTGCTACAATTTTCCTTACCTATTTTCATTAAACTGTGACAACAACTTGCATTTGAGCAACATTTCCATCAGCCTTCTGAAACTATACTTTCAACATATTCTGGTTTCATGCCTGCTTATTAATGTTTTAACACTCTCTCTCAGCTCAACAAGTTGCAAGTTATTTCAGCTACTTCTTGACATGTACTTGAGCAACTGGAAGAAGCAAAAAAGAAGAAAAAAGAATTCAACCTTTAGACAATTCAGATTAGTTGTTTGTTAAAACTAGATGCCTCCAATGTACGCCAAATGAGCACACAACTTACTGATGTTAATATTTGAAATATAACATAGCTTCTCAGTTTATCAAATACCTTTGCCAAACATAAACAGTACTAAGCCAAAACAAGAAAACCAGAAACACATAATTCCTCAAAACAAGTCACCATATAGTTTCAGTGGTTCAAAGCTGTTTTTCAAGTCATTTTAAACAAAACATGAAATACATGGTCTAACATACCTCTCTATACATACACACCTCTCTATTTGAAGATTAATGTCGATGAGGTAATTGAAAATACAGGGCTTTAAATTAAACAGAGATGTTATGCTATGCATCCCTTTTTGTGACATCGCTGCAACAAGCATTATTCTTCTTACAAATTTAACTTTCAATTATAAGACTATTCCCACTTCATTTCTTGCACATAAATATTAAAAACATAATAGAGAACATGTTGCACGTGTTCTCTTTTCATTTGTCATACAGAAGGGCATGAGGTTTCAAGTTCAGTTATTGATAACAGCATATTTGCATAATTATGCAAAGTACTGACATTCTCATTAGCATTTAGAGGCCCTCCTGTAGCAATGTAGATTTTGGCCACATTACTTGACTAATCCAAGTTCAGTGAGACAATAATCCTCCATCTAGTTATGCTGCATAAATATAATTTAGACCCCTTTCTCTAATAGGATTTAAGTAACTCTGTTTAGGATTGCAGCCAAAATGGTTTTAAGTAATACCATTTTAATTTTTTTACTAGTTTCCTTACATAAGGCAGATCATCATGTAGGTCAACTGAAGGGCTTTCATTTAATTGTTCAGGTTTTCACCCCAACTTCACTGTTCAAAGGTAGTAAAACAGGTGCAGAGGGAGAAGTAGACCGGGACACATGAAGAAAAAAGGCAAGTTCCTCCCCTGCCCCTTCTCAGTTTGGCTCAGTCTGTTTCTTTTGTCTACTGACCAAGAAGTCAGATACAAGATGCCCATCAGCTACAGGCAAAGCTTTTCTAGATGCTCCATACTCATAGCCACATTCCCTTTACCTCACCCTATTCAACCATGGCTTCCAGGGTCTGTGCCTCTCTAGAGGACAGCAAAGCACACTGCCCACTTAGCACAACTTGATCAAAGGATGGAAGCCAGCAAGAAGCATTTGCATGTAACAGATGGATAATTCATTTTTTCCCAGTGCACTAGAAACAATACAGCTCTTTATTGTAAAGAGGGCAAAACTCCACTCACGTACAAATGATTAAAAACATGTTTCCTGTTATGTAACAATTCGAAGCTATGGCTTGTCAATGATTACTCAGTTTGAAGTTGACTCCTGGAATTCTCATTTATTTAGACTTTTAAACAAACTAATGTAAATATGTTAATGTCTGCAATATTATGTCTGCAACTGCTCTGCATCGCTTATCCTCTAGCCAAATAGCCATATTATTAAAATGTATCATTTATATGTAAATAGGCAAGGTAAATAGGCCTTTCATATGACAAACAGAACAGCTGAATGGTGGGGGGGACAGCACTGCCCCCCCCCCCAAGAATGCAATGTAAGTCTTAAAACTGAGGTCCATTTGGTACTTTAGAATGCATTCATTTTTCATTTAAAACAAATTTATTAAAAACTCATTACATCTTTATAACTGCGGAGCTTTTTTCAGCAATTCAACAATGTTCATAAAACATATCCTATCTTAAATGAAAAGAAAAATGTTTGCTTATAATAAATTATAATATTCTCAAATTCATCTGTAGAAATTGGAAGGTTAATTATGATTGCACATTGAACAATACTGCAGCTAAATGCTGAAGCAGTCCTACAGAAATACCATATGTTTGTCTTAGGAAAAATGTAGAATGATTAATTAGGAGTTCAAGCCCAGGATTTCACAAAGCAATTCTCTGAACAAAATTAGATCATTACACTGTGTACTGTGCAAATTGAAGTTTTAATTAATAGCTGAAATGCAAGTCAAAAAGAAAAGCCTACAGAGTATGAATTACATTCACCAGACTTTTTCTGACACTGCTTATTAAAAGACAAGTTAGCCAGGTGCAACTGAAGTCACTTGGGGATATTTTTACCCGCTATGTTGCTTGCTTTCTTCTTATTGTTAAGTCTTACAGTAGCTAACAACCTGAAAAGCTTAAAGGCGACAGCCTATAATCATACCACCAGTTAATAGCATTACTGAAGAATCAATTTTAAATTACAACAATGACGGTTACTTAAAACTCCAACTACGAAGCTACCATAACAACATACACACTTTCCAGTTCATCTCCCTGGGTACAAGGGCTTATAATGTGAACTACCCTCTTCTTTACTCATAGGCAGTCCCCTCCCCCCCTTGGTCTGTTTTTAGAGGATCAAAATACAAAAGCATATTTTTAAAAAACTGTAAACTTACCACAAACTCAAAAACCAGTGTCAATGTCTCCTTGGTGTGGATGATATCATGAAGCAGCACAATGTTGGCATGTTTTAGGCCTTTCAGAAGAGAAGCTGAAAGACAAAAGGCACAACTTGTGGAAAATGTGCTAAACCAACACAACATTCACTACAAATTTCAATAAGATGTTACATGACACTTCAGTTTCACAGACGCTTTGAAGATTCAGCTGTCCCACAACCTATGTTCACATTCTGTAGTGATTCAGAGACAAGTTCCATTCATTTCACTTAAGCCCATAGAAGAACAAAGTTGATGGTGTATACACTTTATTTCTTTACCCTTAAAGCCATGTGAAGCAAGGAACATTAGATGGCAAAAAAATAATTCTCTTGTTTATGCTAATGTACAACCAAGCACTTCTAAAGCTCAGTGAATGTGTGTGACAAAGGCTGCACACATACACAGACCCGATAAAATCAGTTGGCTCTATTATTACCTATTATACTAGTATTTCACTCAGAGTTTCAACATTGTAGCATTCCAGCCAATCACTGTATTTAAAGATTATATTTATGTGGGATGTTAATAGCAAAATCTTTTCCCATTGAAATTTTAAAAGGGTTAAACCATATTTTATTTTACTTTGTAATTTATATTTAATGCTCACACCATAATGCATATTTAATACTCCTAAGATATGGCATATTTAACCAATGTGACATGACAAGTCATGTGTTGCTACAGATGCCAAAATGCCAGTGGTGACATGTCATCTCATGCATACATCAAAGAAAGACTAACATCAGCCACCATCAGCCATACAGCCCAAATATAACGATGTGCAACTATTGTCACATCTAAGCAATCTTTTCTATTTTCTTCCTTCACATGTTTTTGTTTGCAATCCTACTGATGAAAAAATAAAATCCATATGTATTTTAGAATATTCATATATACTGGCAAAGTGCCATGTTAAGACTAGTGTTCCCTCTGAGCTAGTCTGAGCTAGCTCACAGTTTTTTAGCCTCCGGCTCACACATTTTTGTCTCAGCTCAGGAAGGAGGGCTCCAGAGCAAACTCATTTATACAGTAGCCAAATCGCTCACTCACAACTTGAATGCCAGTAGCTCACAAAGTAGAGGTTTTGCTCACAAGACTCTACATCTTAGAGGGAGCATTAAGACATAATCCCTCTGTCTGACTCTTGACAGCTGTGGGGGGTGGGTATTGGTATCAATTGGAGGACACTGGGGGGGCATTTGTTTTCACACCCATAAATTGGTGCTTTTTTATTTAAATATGAGAAAAGGGACAAACAAACTTGAAGACCCAACTGATTCGGATAAACACAATACTGGTTTGTAAGGTTAAAGATTAGCCAGTTGTTTGAAGTCCTTCTCAGAGTTGAGGCATGAAGGAGAAATATGTCCTTTTGGTTGTGTAGGACTATTCTCAAATCCTTGAAGGGTCAGAATGGCTACACCTCCACTTCTGGGCCCACGTCAAGAACAATGTTTTCCTACAAGGATTATAGCTACTAAGGGCTGCATAGGTCTTGGTTTCTCTTTGGAGACAGCCATCACCCTCCCTAGAAAGAGTTATTCCATATCTCTTGAAAGGAGGACCCACACCAGAGGTAAAGATCTAATCCCATCCCGTTTTTGTAATAGGATGAGCCTCTGTAACATGCTTTGCCCAACGCATACACACTGTGAGGCACAGGAAGACATCCTATGCTGAAATGCTCAGATATAACAGTCCTGTAGTACCATCCTAAGCAGAGTTCCACCCTTCTGAATCCATTGATGTCAATGGGCATAGAAGGATACATCTCTCTTTAGAACTGTACTTCCACTCTCTTAACCCTGGTTTATGCCATGGATCATATGCTTCCTCTCTGACATGTGAATTCAGCCACTCTGTTATCTATAGGTCAGGGTTACACCTGCACATATATGCTAACCAGGGAATGTTGTTGGACTGGACATGAAATCAGTTCAAACCTTGGACTGGTTAAAAATGAACCTAGCTTAACATAAATCTTGGTTAATGCTTGTGTCAATGTAAATTATTAACCATAATTAAGTCATTGCTGTAGAGAAGGGCAGGAGTACCCAAGCTAGATCTTGGTCCTTTATCATTGAGGAAGGGCTTGGAAATCTCACTTCTTTACTATTCCCTCCAATGTCAGACATTCTGATTCTTGCCAGAAGCATAATGTAGAAAGTCATCTATTTATATCAGAGATCAAAATCCGACCAAAATGAAAAATGAATTACCAGGGAAATGTCATATTCCATCCATACATATATTACTGCACACATGGGTTAAAGTTGTATTTCTGACTCTACCGACTGAAAATTGGTGACTCTCTACCTTTCTCTTTGCATGTAAATATAATGCTAGACAGTGTACATAATACAGACTTAAGAAACTTCACGCTCTGATAGTTTCCCTCACTGTTTTAGTGTCTCCTCAGGCCCTTAGCTACTCTTGCAATCATTAAAATCTTAAATGGTCATTAAAGTTTAAATAGCACAGGGACCTCACCACACCCTGAGGACTGTCTGCTAGCTCTCTTACCCCCTCCCTCAACTTCCTCTGCTCTGACTCCAGTCATTGGGAGTCCCCTTATATACTTCACCTCTGACAAACTAGAAAGAAATGAAATTTTTATATAAATACTTGAAATATTATTTTAAGAGCCACCTCAAATCAATAGATGCTGTGATGACCTCTTATTTGGGGAGGTCTGGTTTTTACTTTAAAGTGTCCCTTTTAGTTTATTTTTCTTTGGGTATACGGCTGCCACCAGGAATTTTAAGGATTTCCAACCTCTTACTGTAATATATATTTCTATCACTGGGTTTTGGTATTGTGACCCAGGGTCTGGGCTTTCAAAGGACCATGTGTTTCCTGGGAAGAATTTCGTTCAGAACTTGTATCTTAAATAAAAGTAGATTTATTTGATGTTCACACACTCTTCCCTCTTACTGACAGGGATCAGGGCATGTCACTTTGTAACAATATTTTCCTTAGGCCATATATGGTTACTGTTTCTTTATGCTTTAACTTTTCATAACACACACAAGACTTCTCTCTCTCAGACCTTAAAATGAACAAACTGCTTAACTCTTTAACTACACAGAACAAATTCTCTCACAGAGACCTCAGGACAAAACTCATATTAACTGCTTTTATACAGCACTCTCTGCTGACCAACTAACTGTTTTACTGTTAAACCTTAACTGTCATTTCTCCAACAGTCACTCCTGATAGACATTCAAATCATCCACACAGCATCCATTCCAAAAACCCTCCCCATCTCTGTCACTCACCAATCATACCACTTGCCTGCTTCCAGCACTCTAGAATATCACAGCCATGCAAATTAAACTTTTAAAGACACACACACACACAAACATGAAATCGTTACAGATGCATATAGCACTTATACTGTGCTTTAAACCACGGTCTCCATCTGGTAGTTCAGGAACAATTGAACTGCACCTAATGCTAGGCCAGATGGAATTACCCTTATGTGGAAAAAGGAACTGTGGCAGCTGAAGCTCATTAGGTATCTGTCAAAATCTTCTATTCCACACCATGACTGTAGTTATAGGAAAGGAGGAAGATGGAAAAATAGGGTTGGGGGCTGTGACCACCGGGGATAGGCCCCCCTCAGGAATGCTCCTGGCCCTCTCCTTGAAGGTTTGACTTTCATTAGAAAGAAGCATTTATTGATGGGGATACTAGGAAAAGTGTGCAGGCCATACCTACCCACCTTCTCATGAAGATGGAGAGCTGCCTCCACTTTCTTATATTCTGAGCTAGTACTTGCAAAGGTACCGACAAGCAAAAGCCTTACTTTAAAATATAAAACCTTATTTCATGTTATTAATACAATCAGGGGTCATTTCCTGCACAGTGCACAGGAGCACAGCTCTGGCAGTAAGGAGCCCAGGGGGCGGGCACATGCAACAAGCCCCGCCCCCTGCTCCCAGCAGCCCTCAGTCAGGCCACGAGCAGCAAGAAGCAGCCAGGTAAGTTGCAGAGCCCCCTCCAGCCCACCTTCAGGTACAAGCTCTCCCTCCTCTGTGAGAGCAGATCTGTGCTCCCCCCGCCCCATAGCTAGCAATCCAAAACAGTCCAGTGGCACCTTTAAGACCAAGTTTTATTCAGGTACAACCTCTCCCTCCTCTGTGAGGGCAGATCTGTGCGTCCCCCCCCCCATAGCTAGCAATCCAAAAAAGTCCAGTGGAGCCTGAGTGGTGGGTGTTGCCTTCTGACACACTTCCAGTGATGTTAGGGGGTGTGGTGTATGCAAATAAGTTATGCTAATGAGTTATGCTAATGAGCTCCTGCCCCTCTTTTTCTACGAAATGACCCCTGAATACAATTAATACAATTAAATACCTTTACACCTATGAAGACCTCTGTATGTAAGAATCTTAGCTAATCATCAATGATTACCCACATTTCCAGCCTTCTCCTAATTCCTGGTGGTAGGTTCCAACAGGGTCTCATGATGCAGCTTTAGGCTGACAAGGTTACAGCCTACTTCTTTAGAGCATTTAAAGCATTCCATAAACTTTGCTTAGCAGTCTTTATTTTTTACAACCATCCTATATGGTAGGTCAGTATTATCACCATCCTGCAGATGGGAGAGAGATGCTGAAACTGGATCCTTGCCCAAGGCCTCCAAGTTAGGAAGGAAGAAATATATGAAGCAGGGACTTCACCCTTTTTTTAAAAAAGGAGGCACATAGCTCCTCAATTTTTCTCAAACTTCCTCCAGACAGTTTCCTAAACCAGAAGTGGTGCTGCAGGGCTACTATTTACCTGGATCCAAAATGGTGTGGGAGAAAGGGATGGCATATTTAAAATAAAAAATTTACCCTGTTGGGGTAAACTTGTGGGCCCTGATTAAGATCCCTATGTTCATATGAATGAGGCAAACAGCAGCTTCACAGGCCTTGGAAAAACAACATGGAACAAATGTCTCGTGCATCTGTTTTGAGGGGTGCAGAACTCTGTGAAAGCTTATTTATGGAATTCCCAGAACCTTGTACAGTTTCGCCCTTACAGTACATAAACCTCTCTTTCATGG